CTTCTGCTGCACCTCCTCCGTCGCCTTCATCCGGCAACTCGGGTAGTTATGCGGACAAAATGGTCCAAATACACAACGAGTGCCGTAGCAAGCATTCCTCTCCGGACCTAAAATGGGACCAGAATCTTGCCATTACTGCTGAAAAGATTGCCAAGTCATGTAAATTTGTGCACCAGATGTAAGTCATGGCATTTTTGAAAGAAAAATACTTTGGTTGAAACAATCTCTTACACAAATGCAGGGACGTCGACGGTGGCAGCTATGGCCAGAATATTGCAGCCGCCTCCTCCGATAAAAACAGCAACCCGACCGATTTTGGCGTCAACGCTGTGGGCGAAATGTGGTACAAAGGCGAGGTGAAAAACTACACGCCGGCATTTTATCGCTCTGGCCCTAGCAACGTTCCTCTTGGCGACTATGGCCACTTCACCCAGGTAGTCTGGAAAGCGACGACTTTCGTCGGTTGTGCAACTGTTCAATGCGGTGCAGGGTCAATCTTTGGGATGCAGTCATTATTCACTGTCTGCAACTATAAGGTCCAAGGTAAGAAACTGACCTCAAGTATCTCCTATAACTTTCAAGCCAGATTCTTACATATATAATTTAGGCAACGTCGGTGGCCAGTACCCTGAAAACGTTCTGCCGCCCAAGACGGGATAGTAGAGCCCAATGCCATGAATGCCAGTGATTGTACTATGCACATAACCCACGAAACTCCCTGGACGTGCAATCCAAGCAGGGAGGGAAGCTACATGGAGAGTTTTGTCTCGTGATTGAGGCCGGGTCATGGATGTGGAGCTTGCAGCAGGGTATCGTGAATTTCGCTTCTCACCTGTATGTTATGTTACATGATACTTTACGATCTTGGTCTTCATAAAACTAGGATTTTGTTCATTTTGTTTACTTTTCTTCCTTTGGCCGCCTGCTGAACCGTTGTCATGCGATTCAAATGGCCTTTCTACTGCATGTGTTGGGGCCATCATGACGATGCAATATTACTGATGTCTGTTGTACATGAGAGAGCGCCGAGACGGAAGGGAGGACAATGACTGGAAGCGCTGGATGTTTCGTATATTTCGTTCTTCTTATCTTAGCAAAGATGCTTTTATGCAGAATTGACGGTTCCAACGCGCGTGCTCTGCAGCCTCGTATGTGCTGAGTTGACCGGCGTGGTTCAGCTTGGTGATAACTTGCCCGCCTCTTGAGACGAGGAACTTCTGTCAACTCATGCTGAGCCCTACCGCAGGCTGGGTGTTGTTTTATTCCTCCTTATTGGCGTTTGCAAAGTGTCGAGTTGATTGTTGCCTGTGTGAGTCGTGTTCGACAATTGTTCTTTATCGGCTACGAACCAATCAAACCTCCTGCAGAGTGAGATAAAAGGACCAATGGTACATGAAGGCGTCGAATAGCAAACAGACCAAGTCACGTTTTGCAATTGCGAAAGCACAGTGCCTATGTACTTCGCCGCAACGGCGCTCGACAAGATGTGCCCTTTTCATCTAGTAGAGAAGGCTGAGGGTGGTCAAGTCTGGTTGGTTTTGACGTGGGGAAACCCAAAAGCCTTTGAATGATTGAGAATAGCGAATAAATAAATGAATAAAACTACAGCACCATGGTTTTTGAATGCAAACTCGCACCAATGGGTTGAATGTCACTCACAATGCCACTGGCAATCCATGTCTTCCCCAGTCTGAGCTGATGGAGCTCCTATAAGTGGCGCTGGGAGGTCTTGATTTGGTATCGGCATCTTCTGTTTTTCTTTGCAACAAGACCACCACCCACCCCTACATGATCTTGGTCAACGTACGAGGCTGTCGAGAATTCAAGTAAGCCAAATATGGAAACAAGCATGTTAGCGCAAGCCAAAGCCGAGGTCGACCAAACTTGGGTTTACACTGCTTACATGTAGGAACCCCGCGTTCAACTTTCACGCCTCGTCACTCTCCATCCGCCCGTCATCGTGAACCGCATCATATCATGGACCTCGAATCAACAGTCAGACTCACCGCAGAGTGCCTCTGCAGAAAACACACATTCAGCGCAGAAATACCCAAGTCGAGACTTCCTCTAGAGGGCAGCGTCTGCCACTGCCATTCGTGTCGCCACTCCACGGGCGCGCTGTATGTGCTCTTTTCGACGTGGCCGCGGCCGCGTGCCGACGTCGACACCAGCGGCCTCCGGAAATACCAGTTTTCCGCAAACATCGCCAACCTCTTCTGCGGGACGTGCTCGACGCCCATGTTCTCCGAGCTGGCCTGGGACCCGGGCAGTCTCGGCGTCTACAGCGGCCCGTTGAAGAACATGGACGTCGCCCCGATCAGGCTCACCAACCACATATACGTCGAGGATACCGTCGACGGCGGGGCGTCGGTATGGCTGAGGAGGCCGAATCCCGACGGGGACGAGATCCCTCGCTACTTGACGCGCTCTGGACAGATCCCCTGGAGCTGGCCGGGGGCATCGACTTTGGCAGAAGAACCCGGGGGCGGGCCGGTGCAGCAGTCTGTAGGTATTTCCTGCCACTGCAAGGGCGTCAACTTGGTTCTTCGTCAGGGGGACTATGCCGGCGGGAAGAGGGGGGAGTTGCCGTGGTTCATCGACCCGAGGAACAACAAGAGGCTTGCTAGTTTTGACGCCTGCGACTCGTGTCGGCTTCACTTTGGAAACGACCTTGTCCACTGGACATTTACCGACTTGGCTGACATAGCCCGGGCGGATGGGGGTGCGTTCCCCCGGACAATGACGGAGCTCAGGACGGCCGTGGATGCGGGCGACGCGGCGGTTGGAACGCTGGCGTGCTACCAGTCGTCGCCGGACGCGCACCGGTATTTCTGTAGAGTTTGCGCCGCGGCCGTTTTCTACGCTTGTGAGGATAGGCCTGATATTGTGGACGTGGCGGTTGGCCTTCTTGAGGCGCCGGACGGGGCTAGGGCCGAGAGATTCCTGTCTTGGACGTTGGGGGAGACTCCGGTTTGGGTGGACGATACGAAGGGCGGTTGGCGAGAAGGGTTGATGGGGAGGGTGCAGAGTGATGCCGAGGAGTTTAGGCTTGGGAGGGGTTATGAGAAGAGTTGGAGAAGGATTGCGAAGGAGGGCGAATCGGGATTGTCATCCTGAAACCGAGGCATGAGGATGGAGTGTCGGTGATGGAGAGGGCATGTTTGCTGTTGGTTTTCTGGTTCCCTGACAAGTCGATGCCTACAATTTTTTTTTGGGCAACGTGCCTGCGTTCGGCTGCAGGGGCGAATATAGGTCATGGATTGGGACTTGGAGACCATACCACTTGTAGAATCCGCCGGAGCTTCGTAGTACTTGATCGAATTGTTGGTCTTCCTTTTCTAGGGGGCTGTCTGATGATGACGGTTGTATTGATTAGCACGACGCTCTGTACTAAGCACTTTTTTTGCTCTTTAGATGTATTTGGCGAAATGCCATGTCTTTTCGCATTCATTCCCTTGATGTTGTTGACCTTATACGCATAAGAAGGATAAAGGCAGCCGGTATCCCCTTTTCTGCGATCTGACTCATGGGAGAGGCTAGAACGCGTGGAAGGCTAGAAGACTGACGACTGGAGGGAGCCGCATACCGTATGCGGAACTGCCATTTTCTGTATGGAGACATCTCGACAAAACTATTGACTTGGTGGCAACAGTGTGACACGAAAGTGCGCGCATAAGCGCCGCTATTCATGTGCTGTTCTACAGACGTTCAGCCGCAACCGCCAAACATTCAAGGGCCATTGAAGACCATGTCGTCTCCATTGGTTATTGGAATCCATCTTTGAATGTCATACAAAAAGTGGCTTAAGCTACTCCCTCAGCCTTCCTGTATTTTCTGAACACTTGTAGGTATATAAGCGCCCAGCACAATGCTTCCCCTTGCGAAGTAAAAGCCAACAGAGAGGGCGAGTTTCTCTGGCTTTATTTGACATTATTCCCCAGTAGACATGAAATAGCGGCTTGAAAAGAATGGAAGATGCCATAACATGTCGCGACTTGTCCCCCATCCCTAGCAGGAGGGTTCTTGTTAGCAAGAGGAGAAATCCGCACTCCGCGATGGACAGAGAGGTAATGACGTCAAACTAAGACATCTGTGCGACGAGCCTATGTACAGTATACATGTCAATGTGGTATTGATAGTGCATCTTGTGTATCAATGAGACTGCAGAACGTGCCAGTCCAGTCGTACCTGTTGATACGTGGTGGCCTGCAGGTGATCTACCGAGCTGACGCTCTTGACATGGAACACGGCAGCCCACAAGTACTCGAAGACAAGGCATGTAAGAAACAAAGCTGTAGCTGATGTGTCAGTCTCTATATAAGTCTATGTGTTTTTTCGCATTTCCATTGATATTTATACATTGGTTATTGAGAAGGCTGTGGTAGCAGTATCTTTATATTGCACAACACCGCTTTGAAGATTCAATCTGCTGTCGCCCACGTTCAACTACTTTGGTTCACCATGGCAGACACCTCACCTGCTGTTGACGGTCTTGTAAACGTAGAACTAAGACAAAGTCAGCGAGAGGCTGCTCAAGAAGAACGCCACGGCTCCCTCGTAGGGCTCAACAATAGAAGCACCTAAGAGATTGAGGCAGATATAGGTGAGCATTTGAGACCCGTGGCATCATATCTTCCGTCTTGGGAGCACAATATAACTCACCTCACCACTGACACCTCACCACCCAACGATGAATCCGGCGATCAGCTCCAAGCACCCGACGACAATGGACGCAGCCGCGACAGCTCGTCCGAGTATATAGAGCCAGTTGAATCAGAGGAAGCAGTCAAGCTAGGATACCCGTCGCTGAATTTCCGATTCCTAAGATGTAATTCATCCAGTCTTGAATGCTCAGAGGTCCAGTGACTCGGTCACAGATCCATTCCCAATAGTCGTTCATCCTCTCCCTACCGAGGCGGACCTGTTCTGGGGAATGCTTTGAACCTCCTGCTCCGCAATCTATGGCGGAAGATGTTATGGCGTTGATGAAGATGGGGTTGTTATCTCTGATGCTCTTCTTGTGGGAAGCAACTTCCTGTGAGGTCTTGGTCGAGTTCATACTGGTACGGCAACCACTGCTCTAAAGCGGTTCCGGCGGGCCTTGATGCCAGATCATCGACACCCGGATAGATAGCTTGCGTAAACAAATCATAATCATCTTGAACAACAGAATCAACTGGGGTATCTTCCCCGAGAGGCCCAACTCTGTATTGGTTGAAAGCAGTTTGTTCTGGTGTCACAGGAGTATAATTCTCGGCTTCAGGGTTGTTGCCCCAAGTAGGTTCCAGCGGCGTGGGCATGACACCTGTCGTCCCTGCTGATGCTGCAACTGTGGTGCTGGTGCCAACATCCGCCAAAGGTTGGTCGCATGCAGCGGTATGCCGAGCAGGAGTCGGCTTTGTTCGTAGACGACGGTTTCGTGGTTGGGGATTATCAAAATGGGGCGATTTCCACGGCCTGAGCATCATGGCGACGAATTCGTCTTGCCGCGCCCTGAAATAATCTGCTATGCTCTGTCGGACGGGTTGTAAGCTCGGTGGCAAGTCGTGCATGGCCGCCTCCCAAGTCATCTCTTCCGCGGGTAAATGATTCTGGATGGCGCGCACTTCAGCCGAGTGATCTACGTTGACAAAAGGACTATGGGGCCGAGGGACGCCAGGGCAAAGACATTTAAATATCTCATACCAGCTGTCGCTATCGTTTGATGCCCTGCTGGACAATTGAGCTCTCTGCTCGGGCGTCACGAGGTCCTTGGTTGGCGGTGGTTTGGCCGTGCACTCCCTGGCTTGTTCGTGAAGCTTGCATTCCATTTCATTCTTGAAACTTGTCCAGCATGTTGCACAGGAGTTCTCTATGGCATGGGGCTTGCGATTTAGGTGGCCTTTGAGTCTTGATATCTTGTCGAATGCGCGTTGATGGCATACGTGGTCCTGGTTTCCAGGACGCTTTGCATAGGGGCAAGCCCAAGCTTTACCAGGTCCCATTACACCATTGGATCCAAACGGCGGCATGATATGAGCCCCGGTGAGGTAGGGGGCGTGGCGGATGCGTCAAGTCTGGTGTGCCTCGTCAATGTTTTGCAGAGCTCCACAACTCGAGTGAGTATGGAGAGAATTGAAGGTAGAAATTCCGCGAAAGCTGGATACCTGGACACTTTTAGCCTAGTTCATTGTGCAAGACGCAAATAGCTACAAGTGTTGGGCTGATGTCAAAGTAAGAATTGAGATGTGAAGAATAGAAACACGTTCAAGAGTGAGGGCAAGCCAGAGTAACCGTTCTCCCACGTCCAAGGGCGGCGGATCATTGAGTGGCCAACATGAATGGTGCAACCTGCTTGATCAATGGCTACGCAGCCACGGGATCCCTAGTAGCAGTACCTGCGTGGTACGTGGCATACTTTCCTGAGGCTGAGCACAAAGCCACCTTGGGACGGTTGGTTGGAGTTGGGTGATGACTTCAATTGATGTTATTAAGCAAAGCGGCGCTTTGCTTCCATGTCCGTAATACGAGTCCCTGAGTGCTACGCCACTGTAATTACAAGCCTTGTATTATAAAAACTCAATTTATAATCGGTCTAGATAACCTTGAATCACCGCGATTGGCTTGCATTTAAAGGCCGGTGCGTAGCTTTGTGCATCATCGCGAACCTGCCTTTTGGTGTTGTGCACCTTCCAAGGCGACCTAGCAGCTTCAATGTTCCAGTCAACCAGCAGCTTCAACAGCGCTGCAGGCGGTCCCCGGCAGGGCCCCCGGAGGAGAAAATAAAAAGACACAAGCTCTAGGAAATAATGCTAGCAGCCCAAAAAGCCTCGAATTCAACAGCTTCAACGAGCCCAAATTCAATAGCAGCTTCAAAAGCCTAGCAGCTTCAACAGGCCCGAATTGCGCAGCAGCTTCAATTTTGGCCCGCCTGGCTCAGCGCTTTGCTTACACCTATGAAAAGGGCCTACGTTGTCATCGGACCTACATATAGTAAGTGAGGTTGAGCCACCCTTGTGTTAACTTGGTGGTAGGAAGAGGGAAAAAGGAGAGAAAAACATTTACTATTAATTCTTCAACTATATTCTTTTATTTACTTCTAAATTGAAATATCCTTGGGCTGGCGTGGTTAGATGATAGTAGTATCAAAATACGAGGAAGGAGACCCCGGCGCCCCACTCTGAGTCTGTGAGGTCGGAGTGACAAAACAACAGCACAAAATGGGCGTGGCCACGCCACATGTATTGATGTGTTAGTACTCTGTATTGAACACTTATATCCTGCAACACCGAGACTAGCGCCACTATAAAGTTTAATAATCCAAGGCTAACTCGGACTCTTAACCCTAACCCTAACCGATACCAGCCCCACGAGCTGGTATCAGGTGGGCACCTGCACCTAATACTATCATGTCTTCTAGGTCCTCCGCTTGACACGGCGATGCTGTATCGTGCGCACTTCGAGGCATGTTCGAGACTCATTGGTGGGCAGATTACCTCGAGTGCCGGGCGGGGAGATAGCTCGGCATGGGCTTGGTCACTGTGACCACTCCGACCCCAGACCTCAGAGTGGGGCTTGGTCACTTGCTACACCTGGATGGGTCTGGTATTTTTTTAAAAGTGGGACCAGACTGTACTATCATACTATGTACAGCCTGTGTAAATCGCCGCGAGAACCAGACAGCTTGGCGACAGCCGTCAACACAAACTCCATATTGCTTGTGCACATATGTTCGGCTACGTTTTTATATAAAAGACGGGGGCAGGTCCAGTGGGTGACCTCAGCCAATATGTCGCCAACACTGGACCACGTACAATATGTACCAATCATATGTATATAAACGCTCATTGCCTTCGGGTTTGGATGTTACCCTGGCCGTCAGCTCTCCAGTCCCTCCAGCGAACGAAACAAACACTCTCAGCTACGGCGAACGAGCGGCCGGAGCCACACTCGCCGTTCTCGCCTTCTCCATTATGTGCATCGCCTACTGGACCCTCGCAAAGGTCACCGGCTATCTCCTCTGTACTGCCAAATACCCTTCTGCCGCGTTGGCGGCGAATATTGGTACAATTCTCGAGGCCGCCTGGCCAGAGTCCACCAGAGCAGCAGATGATCTCGCTTGCGAGAGGAAGAGAAATCTTCGCAATGCAATCCGGCTCATATACTTGGGAGACGTGACGGATGAGCAGCACCCACACAGGATTGGCAGAGGCATGTCTCAATGCGAAGCTACAAAACCTGACGGAGTATCTGAGTGCTTCCTTTGGATCGCTGGTGGCTGCCCCATCATGAAGGTTGTAATTCAGATAGCCATCTGGGAATGGGTCAGCATCTGGCTGATGGTACTCACCTTGTTGGTGACGTTGATCCATAACAGCTTCTTCAGCCACGGGGAAGGCCCTGACAGCAAGCCGCGGCTCTTTGTGGTTTGCATTTACGCGGGGTGCTTTGCCATCCATGCCTGTCTTGTCTTGTTCTTGTGTCTGGGAATCTTGACCCAGGCTTGTGCCAGTCAGGCCTGGAGCTTGCTGAATCGATGCCACTTCGCTGTCGTCGACCGCCATCAGCTTGTCGAGCACATCCGTGACGAGCGCAACCCCCTCGAGTTTGGTCAAATCGAGAAATCGGGCATTGCAAGTACTTCCTTGTCCGAACCCGGTAGCTACCTCGCTGCCCTTGAAGGCCGCGACCCGGCCCCAAGGACTACACGATCCGAGGCGGAGAAGGAGAGACTCGACATGGCACACCGCGATGTCGCACACAATCAAGAGAAGTTCCGAGACGACATGGGCACGTGTGCTGACAAGGCTCTGGACCTGGTGCTCCTCAACATTGTTACTGCACTCAACATCTGCGTTACCCAGGCCTTCAGCGCTTGGACAAAGAGGCCGCTGATAGACAACGCGAGCACGCAGATCGGCTCCATTGCCTTGGCGACTGCCGTCTTGTTGGGAATGGCGTCCATGTTCCGCAGTGCACTACAGCTGAGCACGGTGAAACAAACGTACGGCCTGCTCCTTGGCCTGAAGGAAATCAAGACCAATCTTCAAGTCCTGGAGTATGCCGACGGCCGTCCGTTCCGGGGCTCAATTGTTGGCTTTTTCCATGGATACCTTGAGGCCCATCCCATTACCCTGGCATCACTCCTGCCCACATCCAGCTGGGTCGCAATGTTGCAGGCGTTGTTGTTTGGCCCCATGTTCTCCCTGCTTCCCAATGCAGATGAACGCACGCGGCGCTCAAATGGCACCAACGGCAAACTGTGTGTCCAGGCCATGGGCCAGGATGTGGTGTTTACTACATACGGCACAAACAGGCAGAGCATCGACTCACAGGCTTTTCAGAACGTCAACTCAATCAACGTCTGCTGCAGCTTCGACCGGGCCCGGTTTGACGAGGTGTTCAAGGAGTCCAGCGAGCCAGATCCGACAGAAAGTCCCGAGATGTCGGGGAAACAGAATACAGGCCCAGTCTCCATCCCGTCGTCCTCCACGTCTACGCCGCGTTCCAGTGGCATTGAGCTCCGGAAGCTCTATCGAAGTACTTGCTCCGAACGTCCATAGGCCCACCATACTTCAATGTTACTATCTAGAAATAATGGTTTGAATAATTGACTACCTTGGTAGTTGGACCAAATGCAGCCCGGGACAATCTGCCCTTCGTTTATATATGTATATTCATGTTTTTGTTGGCAGGTACTATTCGCGTTGGCGGCCTTCAATTCGAAATGTCCGGCCAACCAAGACATAGCAATCGCTGAGATAGATATTTGAACTCAATTGACCCTCGCTTTTGATGAGAATTTAGATGAATCGCTATGACGTGGAACGCCAGTCGTCGACGCGTGATGTTCCACAAGGCCATGAGCGCCACTTATGCCTTGTTTATTCGCTCCGGCACTCGGCTGATGGCTGGTGCATCCCCTTGCGGCGTTAAGGTGTCGTTCAGGTAGCGGTCCATTTTTCTGTAATACCGGACCTAATATATACTTTTTTTGGTGATAAAATTAGCTGTAGGCTGTGATAAATATTAATATAGCTTTATGTAACTTGGGAACTTTTGGTACTTTTATTACTATACAAATTACTAGTAGGCCTATATATTTTTTAGTTTCAGATCTTTTACTAGTCCACATCCTTGCTCGGTACCGCAAGTGGCACCTTGACGCGAGCAAAGGGGATGCAACAAGGCGTGATGCCGTCAACTGGTGTGTGTCGATTGCCAGACTGCCAGTTACCAAATTGGTTCGCCGGTTCCATAAGCCACGTGGTTTCGCCACCAAGGCGCACCCAACTGTCTCCCGAACGGGTTAGATACATATACACCTGCTCGACCTGTCGACGGTAATTCTTCAACAGGGGTGCCTGTCAAGCCTGCAGGGCCTAGGCTCTCCGAGTTCCCTTATCGGCCTGGCTCTTGTCGGTCTCCTCCCGAGCGCCGAGGATTGATGGCTGTGACCCAAGTAGGTCAATAATACGTTAGGTGAAGGAGCTGCTGCGATAACGCATGCCCGCTGCCACTTGTGCCCACCACTTGGGGATTGCCTCTGGTATGTATCCTTGATCGCTCCATGTCTGCCGGGCCGGCCTTGTTGAAGCCCCACTGTCTCAAAAGGACTCTCCGCCCTGTTCCTTGTCAGACGGCTTCGGCGCAGATGTAAACTCGGCCGACGTTCGCCCTAACGTGCGAAGATCATGTTGAATCTTCTGGCAGCCAACCAGACATTTTGGTCCAAGTGGAGCCTCACTGTCGTTGCATGGTCATCCCGGTGTCAGGATCTGGGGAACGGAGCAGATTTAACTAGAACTAGGATCAATGTTCGCCTATTCTTCTGTGGCCCTTTTAAGAAAAGCTTTCGGCAGATCTGCAGACAGCAGTGATGTGAGGTCTCAGGTATCCAATCAGAAGCTAGATTTTAAAGGGCACACGTATTTACTAGTAAATTAGGTGATGGTAAAAGCCCTTATAAGAACTTTAGAAGGCCGAATACAAATTTCTCCATGATAATGTCCCGAATTTTATGCTGGCACTAAAGTCACCCGGGGTCACCAGTTGCCTGCAGGGGCGTTAACATTGAACACACCAGAGGGGATGTGTGGTCAATCCTGGGAAGTGCCTACAGTAAGGCTACCGTTGACCGCCTGAACTGAGGTCAATACAAGTAAAGTAGATATACTTCACGAAACTCGGGAGTGACATTGGCGCATGCACCTGACTTCAAGGTACCAGACAGGTCGCCAAAAACAATATGCTTGGCTCATTTATCGATAAAAGTTGTTTTGGCTACCTCTAAGTACTTAGCTTACATGTAGGTACTTAAGTACCTAACTTTGCAAGTCCGGGCAAGCGCGGTGGTTCAGGAGCCATGATGAGTGGCTGTGCATACCTGCAATACTGCACATGTGTGAGAGGATCAATTGATGTGACCAGGCTTGTGGCATGCAGCGTCGCCAGGCTGGTGCCCTCGCGGCAGGGCGAAAACGGTGGTCCCCAAACAGACCCGGTGACTTCGGAAGAATATGCTGCGCGTGGGAATAGTTCAGAGCCGGAGCCGGAGCCTTTTGATGGTGTCGATAGGATCAAGTCCAGGTTTGGGCTCTTCAGAGTTGTCCTGGTTTGGTTGCGTGAACCTGCCTTCATTCTGGGCGCCACTCCAGATAGAATGCGGCAGGATGATACGGAAATGAATGTAATGGGAGGTGCTTTTGGCGACGGCCAAGAGGAGGAGGGAGGCGAGCAAGCTCATCCTCGGACTGAAAGAGCCTAATTGCATCGCAGCTCGGTTTCTATCGCTTGGTGTGGCTGGACCTGCGCTGTGGAGGGCCCTTATTGTCCCCTCTGGAGCTTGTGTGAGGATTCGATAACAAGAAGAGGCATGTAATACTCAGTCGCCTCAGTATTGTATGTACTGAAAGTGAAGGTGAATAAATAACTGCAGTAGTAGCTGCGAAAAAAAAAAAAAAAACTAAAACTTGAAACCCTAAAAGGCATTCTTGAACGAGAGCCCATCCAGAAGTTTGCGGAAAGGCACCGCGCCACATGCGTCTATCGACATGGGCTCGCCGTCATCTCAGGACAGGTGATGTTTTCTTCCTACAGAGTGGATCACACAGGAATAAAAGATGCGGTATTATTCTGTCGATTATAATCAACTATACTGGAGCCAGTGCCCCCCATTCAGATATCAAGTATATAATCAAGCCACCCTTGGACATTTCATCTCGATATCCAAGCAACAAACTCCAGCTAATAATTACAACCCAAATAGACGCTTTCTTCCGCAATGCTAATCAAGCAGAGCCACCTGCCAACCTGTCAGTGCCATTCGATTCATACCACTTGACCTCTGCTCCGCCTCGAATGTATCCCAGCCTGTCATACAGCGACCTTGCTCGAATATACTTGTCCAACTTCCAGTAGTTGTCGCGAATCTCCTTTGCCACCAGATCGCGCTTGGCCTTGTATTCCTGGCCCTTGGGGCCGTCGCCATGCAAGACCCATTCCTTGGTGGCGTCCTCAAACCTCATTGCAATATCCTCCCGTTCCCGCAGAAGCCCGTCTCGAGTAGCGGTATCCTTCATGATATCATTTTCGCCCTCAACAGGCTCTTTATATTCATACGCCCAGTCCTCGTCGCCACCAAGCTCCTTGATGAGCTGCTCCGGGGCGATAAATTCCTCTAGGTCCTTACGACCATACGTGAAATGAACCTTGGCGGCAATAACGGGATCCAGCCAGCCGTGGATAATCCTCCAAATGCCTTTGATCCTTTGTTAGCCGCGGACTTGGGGTGGTAAACAACATAGGCCCGGGGCAACGTACCCTTAAACACCCAGGGGGCGTTGTGTATCAGGACAACGCCCAGCGACTCGGGGTAGTTGGCTTCAAAGCACATAATAATAAACTTGACCGGGACATAGTCCATATTTGCGAGACTGAATCCCGACATGTCAAAGATGAGGCACTGTCCGTATTAGCATCGTTTGACGGGCGAACAGCAGTGCCGTCTGGTCCAACTTACGGCAGTTTCGATGGGCGGGTTGAGGACGAACCGCGCCGTCTCAATCAGGTACGTCGTGTACCGCTCGATGCTCTCTACACACTGGTCAGACGCTTTATGCAGACGGGCTCTGACAATGCAGATAGGCCGACCGTGTCTGTCGGTCCCGTGCAAGAAGCTCTTTCCCATGCGAATCTGTTTCATAAAGTCGCGACCCAGGGTCTTGGCTGCCTTTTCGTCCGCGACGGCACCCGCCTCGCCGTTGGGCATGATATCCTCATCCACTTTAAAGTCGACATGTCTCCAGTTCATGGCCTTAAACATCATCATAAGAGCTTTGTTAATGTCCCACTTGCGGGCGCGCAGGAATCGCAGGATAAGTGTGTCCGGATGCTCGTGCTTGACGGCGCCAATCACCATGGAGCGAATCGACTGGGCTGACTGGCCGTGTAGGAGCTTCTGAAAGTCGCGAATGGTCTCTGGCGACTGGTCGGCGAGCACGGCGCGCAGTTGCTGGATGGACTCGGGCGGTGCGGCCGCCAGCCCATCCTTGAAGTGCTTGATGGATTCTGGGCTCTGCAGGGCCAGTAGCTGGGAGAATTGTCTCAGCAGACGCTGTTGCTCCTGCGGGTCGGTTGTGATGATTTGCAGGGCTTCCATGACGTCGGGGGAGGGCTTGGGCGTCGGGGGGACTTCCTGGGATGTACGTCCGAAGAAGCCGGTGCGCCTTGGAGACTCGGTGTTGATGGAGCCGGCGTCCGAGACGATGGGCCCTGCGTGCTCGAACATGTTGTACAGCATGAAGACGGTCTGCCAGAGTTTGCGGAGTACAGCCTCCTGGTCGGCTGTCAGGTTGCCGAGATGCCCTGGGGCCATGTTGAAGGATCCGTTGGAAGCCATGTTGTCGTTTTAGTACAGCCAAGTGTTGGTGATGCTAGAAACTGTATACGACTGTATGAGTTTGTCTTCAAGTGCCACAAAGAGAGGAGCAGCAAATGAAGGCGGCACTTTTGGGACAGCCCATCATTGCTGTCGACGACGTTATATAGCCAGCCATGTCGAATGATGAATGGAGGGTATGCTTCCCGTTAATCCCAGTTTGGTATAAGGGCAGCGTAGGAATCAGCAAGCCGACCGTCACCTGATAGAAGTTGACTTTTATTGTTGCGCAAGGTTAAAGTTTGGATCCAGGTACAGCTTTACCTGCTTCCCGCGATCCATGACGGCTCGGTTTGCGATTGGCGGTCGGACATGGTGAAACCAGGCTTCGTTGCCGCTTACAACTGAGATTATCAGCCACAACATGCCAGAATGTGTGGGGAGGACGGTGAATTACCCCGCAAATAGAGACTGTGCAGTGAGCACATGATGATCTGCAATACGGCTGCGTGCCTAGGCAAAAAGTCGGGGCTGTATTTCCTAATGAGGGTCGTGGGTCTGTAGGGCAGAGACTGAGGGGCCGCAGCTCCGGCCGGTCGGCGTGGCGCGCCCCACGAACGGCAACGGAGCCTGATTATCGGGGCCCGTTTCCGTAGAGTCACAAGCCGAGATGGATGCGTAAGG